GGTTCCTATGTTTCGTATTTGTCAAAAACTCCGCGACTTGAAGCCTGGTCTTAAAGCTTTGAACAAAAAGGATTTTAGTGATATCTCTACTAGAGTCCTGGCTACGAGTTCGGAGTTAAATTCTGTTCAGTGGAAGTTGGATAAGGACCCTGGCAATCCTGTTCTACAAACACTTGAAAAGAGTCTCTACAAACAGTATGTGGATCTTAGTGCTGCTGAAGAAAGCTTGGCCCGCCAAAAGTCTAGGATCCAGTGGCTTGGTTTGGGGGATAGTAATAGCAAGTTCTTCTTTAGGTCTATTAAAGGCAACATTAATCGGGGTAAAATTCTCTGTATTGAGAGACATGATGGGCTTAGAACTACTAAGCCGGAGGATATTCAAGATGCTTTCATTAGCTTCTTTACTGGCTTATTTGGCAAGCCTATTGATGATCACTACAATGGTTTTGCTAGGATTAATTCTCTGGTGAAAACTAAGCTATCTCATGACCAATCTTTGTTGCTTGCTAGTCCTGTGTCTGATAAGGAGATTAAAGAAGTCCTCTGGTCGTTAAAACCCAATAAGGCCCCTGGCCCTGATGAGTTTTCTGCTGGCTTCTTTAAGAGCTCCTGGGATGTTGTTGGTAGAGAGGTCACCCAAGCCATTAGAACATTCTTTGAGTCTGGTCGGTTACTCTCTGAAGTCAATAGTACCATTATCGCTCTTATTCCTAAAGTTCCTAACCCTGTAAAAGTTGGGGACTATAGGCCTATATCTTGCTGTAATACCATTTACAAGTGCATTGCGAAAATTATTGCTAATAGGGTTAAAACAGTTCTCCCTGATCTGATTGATCCTGTTCAGTCCGCATTTGTTTCTGGTAGGAAAATATCTGATAATATTTTCCTTTCCCAAGAGCTGCTGAGAGGGTACCATAGAGGTTCCCCTACCCCTAAGTGTGCCATGAAAGTGGACATTATGAAAGCTTATGATAGCGTTAGATGGGAGTTTATCATTGATATTCTTAGAGCTATGGGCTTTCCTCCTACTATGGTGTCTTGGATACAAGCGTGCATTACTAGCCCTTCTTTCTCTATCAGTATCAATGGCAGCCTGCATGGCTATTTCAGAGGTGCCAGGGGTCTTAGACAAGGTGATCCCATGTCCCCCTACCTTTTTGTCCTAGCCATGGAAATTCTTGCTAGGATTTTTGCTGAAAAGTCTCATCTTCCGGCTTTCAAGTTTCATTGGCGGTGTGACAAAACTAGAATTGTTAACCTCTGTTTTGCTGATGATCTTATGATTTTTTGTAGAGGGGATGTCCCCACGGTTGAACTTATCATGGCTGGCCTTGATGAGTTTAGTAGTCTCTCTGGCCTTACTCCTAGCTCTAACAAGAGCAATATCTACTTCTCTGGTTGCAACCATGAGTTGAGAGAGTCGATCCTTAGAGTTGCTAAGTTTAGTGAAGGGACCCTCCCTGTTAAATATCTTGGGGTTCCTCTCATTACTACTAAGTTAAGAGCG